GGAACCTAATGGTATATAACGATCAGATTACTCAGATAGAAAAAACCTTCTTGAACATTTAGAGAAGTTTAATTCAAGCTACAGTTTCATGGAGACGTGTGACACCTTTCTGACTTCCTCTAGCGGATTCTTGCGGACATCATGTCATGTCAGCATGCTGATAGTGATTGTGCTTTGCCGTGGTGCCAGTTGGCATGCTCTTGTGTTCTTTCCATGTTGCTTATGCCTCCCCAACAAGAGCTCTCCTTCGGCTGACCTTCTCATAGTCCAGACATTCATGGTTTCAAGGGAACAATGTGTCATTGTCTTATTTATGGTGTGTGTGAGCTCGTGCGCCTGTACGTGTGTTTGAGCGGCACCATCTTCCTGGCATCCCAAGAAGCAAGGAGGAAAAAAAAGAACTGCATTGTCCATCTCCCTCAATAGCTGTCCTAAATTGGACTTTGATGGACATAGTCCAAGTGACAACTGCGAAGAGGGCTGACTAAATGCTCTATGCTGTAACTTCTTCCATGGCAGCCTCTCCTCTTCCATTTATTGTTGGCTAACAGCTGTCGGATACCTGGGTTTGATCTGCATTGTCTCTTAACTAGCTTGGCAACAGCTGTTGAGGAACACAAGCCACAGATGCCTTAGTGAGTCTCTTCTCAAAGATAACATTTACGTCCAATGCCCTCACCCCCGCTGATCCTTTCTCCTGAGCACACTTTGATCCAAGGAGTCCCGGTTCACCCCAAGCATTAGCGTATTACTGGGATCGTCTCTGTTTATACAATTATTACCTTTGGTGATCCTCTAAAATACGATTAATCAATGACAGATAGCGTCTCCATCAACTGGTACTGCTACTCTTCGATTCTCATATGTCATTCAGGAGCCAACAAAAAGGTCGAAAGATAGTCGAGATTATTGCAATCTCTTCTGGCCAATTAGTCCTTCAACACCCATGATAGTTCTCTCCCTCCCCCCCATTTTTTTTACCTGGAATGGTGTGTCTATGATATGTGATGTGCTATTTTTCTACTGCAGGAAAAAGGAGGTTATTTATAGCGAGGAACAGAGGAGGAGAGTTCTTGGAGGGGTGTCTATTTCACGATAAATGAAATTCCTTGGCCATGCCCGCAACAATTGGACTGAGAGAGCCAGGCAGCTTAAAGATTAGAGTTTGCAGGCTGCAGCTGTCCAACTTGTCATCCCTTGTCTTATGGCACCTCAGCCTTCACACATTTATCCCACATACAAAGGTTACAAAGAGCGTAGATAGTTGATGTCGGCCACCTCAAAGACCTTTTGTCAAGTGCGGTGACATGTGAGCTGAAAAAGGAGTTAAATTTGTAGTTTCTTTGGCGGCTATACCTTCTATTAAGCCCTGTCACAAGTGACGATACCATTAAACTGGAAAAAGAATGAAGCTGGGAAACCATATTTCAGATGTGAGAGTGGTGCTTTATCCAATGTTGGGGTTCCTTAAAAGGATAACCAAAAATGAAAATACTGTCATCATTTACTGTTCTTCCAAACCTGAATGAATGACTGACTCTCTCTTGCACTGAACATGAAAGGTCAATATTTGAAGGATATTCTGGTCACTTCTTCCTTGTCTAATGAAAGTGAATGAGGACTGTGGTTGAGAAACTTCCAAAAAGATGTAAAAGCATCATAAAAATATTGTAAAAAGTGATCCATGCAACTCGCCCAATGTTCCAGGTATTCTGAAGCCACACGATTGCTTTGAGTGACAAAAAGACCAAACTGTATGTCATTGCTCACCTGTGTGTGACCAAATCTTTGAGTCACTGAATTTTGTGAATTGAATCAAATGGTGCATTGAAAGAAAGATTCACTCACAAATCAGACTTCTTTCATGAACAATCTCTGTGAATAATGACAATTTGGTCTGTATTTTGTATTTGTAGCGAGTGGGGCGAGTGGAGTGAGGCCGGTGGAGTAAATGATCAAGAGCGACACCTGCACCACTCACCGGTCTTGAGTCCCACAGTGCAAGACGAGAGAGGACCAGGCCTGGACTATTTATGTTGTTGTTTTATTATGTTTTTATGTGGCAGCCGTCTGTGAGGGGAATGCTGCTTTTACTTTTGCTTTGTGTTCGTTTATTTGATAATTAAAGTTTTATGTTTAAATGCTCGCCAGTTCCCGTCTCCTTCTTCCCTGAACTTTGAAATTTGTTACAGTAATGAATTTTGGTTTGTTCCTCACATTCTATCGACTATTCATTCACTTTTATTACACAGAAAAAATAAAAAAATGGGTCAGGATCTTTTTATTTTTGCTTTGTTTTGTTTTTGAACAACATGCTGTACTTTGTACTGAATTTAGTTTTTCCCCCTCACATTTTATGGGATATTTTCTGTCATTTTAGAGCTTGAGAGCCCAAGTCCTCATTCACTTTTATCACATAGAAAAAATGGGTCTTTTTTTTTTAAACAACATGAGAGTGAGTAGATGAGAGAATTTTCATCTTTGGGTGAACTATCCCTTTACTTGTCTGGCCTTCTTGATAAACAGGTTCAGAACCTTATAAAGAGTGTAGTAGGTCACTGTATCATCAAAGACAGGAGGTCTTGTTATGTCCAGCTCTCTTCTGTTTGGTCACCCTGTGCTTACATTAGAATATAATCATACCCAGAAATAGTTCCTGGAAGAAAACAGGTTTGCAATAATCCCTCCTCTGTAAGGTAAGTAATAACCTGCAAGGTTAAAAAGATATTAATCTTTTTAGCCTACTCGTAAGAAGATTTCAAATAGATTTGATTGTGGCATTTCTAATGCAGAAGGAGATTGGCAAAGTCAGAGGCGTGGGTTCATAGATAATCTCTAGACATCTCAGCATAGTCTGTGTCCCACAAACTACACCGTTTCATAATAAACTGAGTTTTTCTCTATAGACATCTTTAAGTTTAAATGAATTAGCCTTGGTTTCAGGAGGGAAAGCAAACATAATAGATTTACTAAACAACAACCTTGTCGGAATTAATATTGAATATCCAGTTACTCTCCAAGTAGATTTAATCTGACTATCGTGGAACCTAATGAAATTTCCCCACATTAATACTTTATGATCATTTAATCTTCAGTAGGTAAATTCCCAAATGTTGTAGAATTATTTGTGTTGACTGGAGTATGAGTGTGTTACAATATTACAACCCCTCTGGGCCTCCCACTCTTTTCAATGATGATATCACAATTTGCTAATCTTCAGAAAATATAATTAGAGGAGCTAATCACACTATGTTCGCTACATGAGACACCACCCACTTGAGCTATCTGGCAATACTTCACATTGCAGAAAAAGGGCTCCAGAGTGCAAAAAAATCATATTTGGGACAATAATTTAAAGGCAGACTTTGCGGAAGACTTTGTGCATCAATGTGCGGTTTCATCAGATATAATGTTGGTAAGTTGGGGTCACATTAGTGAAATAATAGCAAAATTTAAACAGCAAAAAAGCTCAATAATCCATTGTCAATAATGTAGTGATGCACAAAAACACAGCTCAAACAAAAGTCAGTTTCAAACCAAGCAGCATTATGTCGGTCAATGCGACAAATTCACATGAAAAACTTGAACTTCATGTCTTGACCTTACACAAAATTTCAGATGGTAAATGTGATCATACATTTAGAGTGCATACCAGTGTTTCTTTCATGCATCATTATACACAGCATGAGCCGTGATTCATTAGTGTGATTTGTGAACAAATGACTCTGAGGAACCGTTTCTATTTAACGAGTCAAAAGTCCTGAGTTCACAACTGACTCCCTCACTGAACCGCTAGTCCTTTTCTTGTTATGTCCAATTCGAAATTAATCGGAAACCTTTTCTGTGATATTTTATGTTTTTCAAACATGAAAAAAAAAAAATCTTATTAAACCAAATATAGGAGTGAGTAGCTTCTTCGTCTCTTTTTTGTGTGTAGAGCCCTGGAAAACGTTTTTCCAATTTTCTAACCTCAATTTTGGTGCAATAATTTGAAATATGTGGTCAGGTAGCACTGTGCACTGTGTGTTTAACCTGTAATTGTCTAACATGTATAAATATCAACCATATCAATGCATCACTCATGAGAAGCTCAGAGTAAGGGGCTGTAACCCAAGTGTTAAAAGTGTACCATGGAGTGTTTTAGGAATGAGAGGCCTGCTCTGTCAAGAGGATAGTTCCTTCTAAGGCATGCCTTGCCTTGACATGAGCAGGGCAAGGTTATTCCTTAGGAGAACCAGAACTAACTTGTAGAAGTTGAAAATAAAACACACACTTCTTAGGCACATTGCAAGCATGCCATTCCTCATCTTCAGAGCTCGCCTGTGTCTTTCTTATCCATTGTCTGAGAAAATGCCTGGCATGACAGTTAGGAAGAATGAGAGTTGGTGGCACTTCATATACTACACAGTTGTCCCTCAAAAGTTTTTTGATACGTTTAGGTTTTGTGTAAATGAAATGCTTTGACATTGTCATGATTGTCACGGTGTGCCTACTGTGAAGGAGCGAGGAGACGAAGGAGAATCCAGAATCATCACAGACTTTATTTCACATCAAGGAAATCGCACGCAGGACACAGGGATCAACATACAATACCGGACACTAGACTCAGAACAGGAAACACTTTAAATACACATGACGTGACGAGAAACACCTGGGAGCAATAAACATAATTGCACATGAGGGAAAACTGGGTAATGGAAATGGTGGATCAGGCAGACTAGGAAGCCATGGCAGAGCAGGCGGTCTAGGAAGCCATGGCGGAGCAAGCAGACTAGGAGGCCATGGCGGAAGAGGGAGCTCGGGGAGCCATGGTGGAGCAGACAGTTCAGGAGGCCATGGCGGAACAGACAGTTCAGGAGGCCATGGCAGAGCAGACAGTTCAGGGGGCCATGGCGGAGCAGACAGTTCAGGGGGCCATGGCAGAGCGGCCTCCGTGGCCTTGGCCTCGGCACTCGACCCGGCCTCTACGGCCGGAGCCCTATAACCCCCCCAAAGAATACATGGGGAAAATATCAACCCCTAAGGCCCTCCGTGGGCCTGACTCGGGTACCATGGCCCTCCCTGGGCTAGACTCGGGGAAAGGAGCCCTCTCTGGGCTAAACTCGGGGACTGGAACCCTCTCTGGGCTAAACTCGGGGACTGGAGCCCTCTCTGGGCTAAACTCGGAGATTGGAGCTTTCTCAGGGCTAGACTTGGGGACTGGAGCCCTTTCAGTCCTAAACTCTGGGACTGGAGCTCTCTCTCTGGGCTAAACTCGAGGATTGGTGCTCTCTCTGGCCTAAACTCGGGGACTGGAGCCCTCTCTGGGCTAAACTCGGGAACTAAAACCCTCTCTGGGCTAAACTCGGGGACTGGAGCCGACACTGGAGCTGGTCTCAGGGGCTGGAGCCGACACTGGTGCTGGCTGAAGGGCTGGAGCCGACACTGGAGCGGACTCAGGGGCTGGAGCCGACACTGGAGCAGACTCAGGGGCTGGAGCCGACACTGGAGTGGACTCATGGGCTTGAGCCAACAGTCGCTTCCTCCTTAAATTCTTCCCTTGATTTGGGGTAAGGATTGTGCAGCTGTTAGCTGAGGGCTTGAGAGTGAATCGACCGGCGGGCTTGACAATGGAACCACCGGCAGGCCTAACTTCGGAACGGCCGGCGGGCTTGAGAGTAGCGATTTCCATAATCACGGGGGGAAAAACGAAAAACAAAAACACAGGGAGTAGGGACGCCGCTTACTGTTTATGGTCCGGTATTCTGTCACGGTGTGCCTACTGTGAAGGAGCGAGGAGAATCCAGAATCATCACAGACTTTATTTGACATCAAGGAAATCACACATAGGACACAGGGATCGACGTACAATACCGGATGCTAGACTTAGAACAGGAAACACTTTAAATACACATGACGTGACGAGAAACACCTGGGAGCAATAAACATAATTGCACATGAGGGAAAACTGGGTCATGGAAAGCACGTGAGGGAGGAAAACACGGAAGACACGGAAAACAGGACTGACAATGATATTGAGCAATTGAGCAACTATGACATATCATTAAATTGATTGTCAGCTGATATTAGGTCAATATTGGATTTTTAATTGTATATGCTCATATGCTCATAATTGTACATGCTCATCTTGATTGCTAAAAGAAGTTCATCTTCAAAAAAACGAATAATTTAACTGTTAAATGAATATAAATTTTTCATACTGTACATTTTATTGTTGTGATATCTACAGTGGGGCAAAAAAGTATTTAGTCAGCCACCAATTGTGCAAGTTCTCCCACTTAAAAAGATGAGAGAGGCCTGTAATTTTCATCATAGGTATACCTCAACTATGAGAGACAAAATGAGAAGAAAAAAAATCCAGAAAATCACATTGTAGGATTTTTAAAGAATTTATTTGCAAATTATGGTGGAAAATAAGTATTTGGTCAATAACAAAATTTCATCTCAATACTTTGTTATATACCCTTTGTTGGCAATGACAGAGGTCAAACGTTTTCTGTAAGTCTTCACAAGGTTTTCACACACAGTTGCTGGTATTTTGGCCCATTCCTCCATCCAGATCTCCTCTAGAGCAGTAATGTTGTGGGGCTGTCACTGGGCAACACGGATTTTCAACTCCCGCCAAAGATTTTCTATGGGGTTGAGATCGGGAGACTGGCTAGGCCACTCCAGGACCTTGAAATGCTTCTTACGAAGCCACTCCTTCGTTGCCCGGGCGGTGTGTTTGGGATCATTGTCATGCTGAAAGACCCAGCCACGTTTCATCTTCAATGCCCTTGCTGATGGAAGGAGGTTTTCACTCAAAATCTCACGATACATGGCCCCATTCATTCTTTCGTTTACACAGATCAGTCGTCCTGGTCCCTTTGCAGAAAAACAGCCCCAAAGCATGATGTTTCCACCCCCATGCTTCACAGTAGGTATGGTGTTCTTTGGATGCAACTCAGCATTCTTTCTCCTCCAAACACGACAAGTTGAGTTTTTACCAAAAAGTTATATTTTGGTTTCATCTGACCATATGACATTCTCCCAATCCTCTTCTGGATCATCCAAATGCTCTCTAGCAAACTTCAGACAGGCCTGGACATGTACTGGCTTAAGCAGGGGGACACATCTGGCACTGCAGGATTTGAGTCCCTGGCAGCGCAGTGTGTTACTGATGGTAGCCTTTGTTACTTTGGTCCCAGCTCTCTGCAGGTCATTCACTAGGTCCCCCCGTGTGGTTCTGGGATTTTTGCTCACAGTTCTTGTGATAATTTTGACCCCACGGGGTGAGATCTTGCATGGAGCCCCAGATCGAGGGAGATTATCAGTGATCTTGTATGTCTTCCATTTTCTAATAATTGCTCCCACAGTTGATTTCTTCACACCAAGCTGCTAACCTATTGCAGATTCAGTCTTCCCAGCCTGGTGCAGGTCTACAATTTTGTTTCTGGTGTCCTTTGACAGCTCTTTGGTCTTGGCCATGGTGGAGTTTGGAGTGTGACTGTTTGAGGTTGTGGACAGATGTCTTTTATACTGATAACGAGTTCAAACAGATGCCATTAATACAGGTAACCAGTGGAGGACAGAGGAGCCTCTTAAAGAAGAAGTTACAGGTCTGTGAGAGCCAGAAATCTTGCTTGTTTGTAGGTGACCAAATACTTATTTTACAGAGGAATTTACCAATTAATTCTTTAAAAATCCTACAATGTGATTTTCTGGATTTTTTCCCCTCATTTTGTCTCTCATAGTTGAGGTATACCTATGATGAAAATTACAGGCCTCTCTCATCTTTTTAAGTGGGAGAACTTGCACAATTGGTGGCTAAATACTTTTTTGCCCCACTGTAAATAGCTTTTAGTTTGTCCAGTCTGCTTTCTAACAAATTCTTTGTTTTCAATGCTCAACCCAAGGGAGGATTTGTTAACGAATATGTTGGAGAGGTGATTGATGAGGAAGAATGTCGTGCCCGGATTAAACATGCTCAGGAGAACAATATCGGCAATTTCTACATGCTTACATTGGACAAGGTGAGATTACACCACTAGTTTAATTTTTCTGTTATTGGAAACTTAATATGTTGCTTTGTATTTCCTGGAAGGATCGAATTATTGATGCCGGGCCCAAGGGAAATGAAGCCCGTTTTATGAACCACAGTTGTCAGCCAAACTGCGAGACGCAAAAATGGACGGTCAACGGAGACACACGTGTTGGGCTTTTTGCGCTTACAGATATCCCTGCTGGTAAGTCAAATTTCATTTTTATGTAGAAAACATTGTAGTGCAGCCTTGCATTTTTAAACATGTTTTCTTCCAAGGCACTGAGTTAACATTCAACTATAACCTTGAGTGTCTGGGCAATGGGAAGACGGTGTGCAAGTGTGGTGCATCTAATTGCAGTGGATTCCTGGGAGTGAGGCCAAAAGTAAGGAGATGATCCCAAGGTGTTAGCTTTTATATTGTATAATATCATGTCATTGCTAATTGGTTTGACCAATATTTTTTTCTTGGGATTATAAATATTTCAGAATTATTATTTCTATTATTATTATCATTATTTAAAAACAAATACTGGGAAAACCAATTATCAATCTATACTAAAAAATAATTAGAAAACATTACATTCATAATAATTATTATTAGTGCTGTCAAACGATTAATTGCGATTAATCGCATCCAAAATAAAATTTTTTGTTTACATAATATATGTGTGTGTCCTGTGTATATTTATTATGTGTATATATATATATATATACAAACACATGCATGTATATAAGAAAAATATGTTATGTTTATATATTAAATATATTTATATATAATTATATAAATGTATATACACATGTAAATATTTTCAAAATATATACTATATGTGTGTATTTATGTATACTTTTACTTTATTTTACCTTTAGTCATTTAGCAGACGCTTTTATCCAAAGCGACTTACAAATAAGAAAAAGTAATTAAAACTAAAAGCTAAAACTCTATAAATATTATATATATATATATATATATATATATATATATATATA